TTTAGAGACAGAGTTGGATCCCTTATTACTGGTAATCTCAGCTACCAGAATTTTAAAAGCAACTTTAGAAAAGTAAGCAGGAAAACTAACCAGTTCTTATCAGAAGATCCACTTATGCAGATGTCAGTGTATCAAATCCATGCACATTTTATTGTTCAAAGCTTAAATAAAACAACAAAGGAACAAAGACTTCTGACAAGTAATACCTTCTGAGGTGTAGTTGATGGATCTGGTGTGCTTTCCATCTTCATTTACACGGTGCTCTCTGAGGGCAAAAACATAAGAATATCAGAGCTTTTAGATGAATGACAAGCTAACAACTTCACTGCAGTCACACTGGTATTCCAGCAGTTGCCAGTTTCTTTCTGGGCCTGATGGTTGAAACTTGGACTGAACTGGTTGTTCAAGAAGGATAATAATCCCAACCCATAACAAAGCTGGTTATAGAATAGATGACGTAGTCCAACATTAAGCTTTTATGGACTATTCTTATGGATCAGGAAATTAGTCGATTTAAAAAAAGAACGAATCAAAGTAATATAACACTGTATGAGCTGACATGAGTGGAGCAAAGTTTATCATTTTTTAAATGGTTCACTAGAAAAAACAGTGACGTGTTCTGAATTTATTGTTCTCACATTTTGAAATAGAAACACACACATAAAATAAAGAGGCATGCTGCGTATTAATAAACTGACTTGAGCACCAGCAGAACCAGCAGGATGTTGATGAGTCCGAAAACTGCAGCCAGTAAAGCCGGCGTGGTGTACATGTTGAGCTGCAGGTCTAGGAATTTCACCGTCACGCCGTTTTCTCCAATGAAAGACAGGCATGCCTGCAGAGCTGAAACCCACAAACACACACATGAACACGTATTTCTTCTTCAGTCATTCTCTGAATAACTCTGGTGAAGCTCCAGAGTAGCTCCGCATGAAGCACCTGGTCCAAAGATGAAGCCCAGAGCCTGACAGGCGCTCATGTTTGCCATGGCTCCAGTCCTTTCTTCCAGAGATGTAGCCCCAGCGACATACGACCTCACAACAGCAACATTACCTGAAGGCAACAATCGAATATTACTGTGTATGAAATGGGACGGTGACATCTCTATTTAACACCAGGTCAGATTTTCAGCGTTGTAGGAAACACGATCCAAAAGAACGGCTTCCCACCTGCTCCAAAGCCAACAAGAGCTCTGGATATGAGCATGTGGTACTTGTTATTGGTTTTAGGCAGATACGCGTAGGCATAGTAGATATTGGCAGCCAGGTTAATAAAGATGGAGCACGCCAACGGCTCCCTGCGCGGCCGGTGATTAGACCACAGCCCAAACAGAGGTGAGGCCACCATCTGACCCAGACTGTAGGCTGCAACCATCCAACCCAGGAAGCTGGCGTCTGAGCTGCTGTCCACCTACAACATGAGACAACCAGGTCCAGGGATGAGACCGGTTTACACAACACAGAACACTTAACTCCACATCAAGCAAGTAAGTTCAAAAGTACGGGTAAAAAAAAGTAAGTAATCTAACTTTGTTTTGCCTGCTTTGTTGTAAATGATGCCTCATATCTAAACGATGATTCTTCAAAAGGGAATTCAAATACAAAATATGCTATTTTTGTCTACAACTGATTTTCTAAGATGTTCTTTACTACTTCTTTCATTTATTTGTGGCCATTGTGGTTTTATGCAGAAAGGGAACACTTTCTCTCAACCTTAGAAAAAAAAAACACACTTCCAACAAACTGAAAATTGAAAGCATTCTGTACCTTCTGCAAATAGGGCCATAGTGATGTGATGACGATGGTGAAACCTGAGCAGAGAGAAGAAACACAGATGATCGGTAAATTTCATTAATGCTGAAATGCAAAACAAATGTTATTTTCTTAACTTATAATTATATCAAATGTTTCATTTTAAGTTGCTGTAACAAGTTTAACTTTGTACTGATACATTTTTTTTTTTTTGTTGTTGCTAGTCCAGTTAATAATTAGTACTGAAACAACTTGTAAACAAAGTTAGTGGATGTATCAAAATTGAAGGACGGTTTATAATGAATCTTACCACAGTTGTTAAATATTGTCAAATATTGTGATTTGTTATAGGTTAAAAGATCCCTGCATAACACATTTGATAACTTAAAGGTAGACGGATTGAATGGCTTCCCATGCTGATACGGATTTAGTTGCTCACAAAGATTTATTTCTTCAACTGGCCCAACCTGATGGATGTGATGGTCTGGAGTTCTGGTATTTCTGGTTAAACTGGTCTTAACTGAAGGCAATGCTGCAACTGATCACCTTTGATTTATAAAGCCAGATGGGTATAGTTTGTGTTCCTTTATTTGTATTTATTGTGTTTAATTTTTTTCACATTAGAGTTAGTTATTTTCTAGTTTGGTTTGAAGGTGAAGTATTTTGGTCAATCTCGGCTCTTTTAGCGGAAAATAAAGAACTAATTTTGACCAATTCAACTTGGATAGCAAATGTAATTTATCTGATTAACAGCAATATGCCTAAAGCAAAATTAACATTTTGTTACTTTGCAGTGGTTTAAAACGTAACTTATTTTACATGGATCTCAAAAAACTGGCATCAAAAAGTTTGTAGAATTTCTTTCAAAATGTGAATCCATACGGATTTATTCCACGCAGAGTGACGTATATAAAGTGTTCATCTCTGGCAATTTTGATAAATGTGAAGAAATGGAAATCCAATATTCAGTTTTTTAGGAATTTAGGATGTTGCACAAGAGCAATAAAACATAAAAGTCAGTATGATTAAACGTATCTCCATGGAGCAAAACTGCAGAGACTGTAACACAGCATTCATCCCCTTACTGTCAATGCTTAGAAAATTGTAGTCACAAAGTTTCTCTATGACACTCAATTTGGAAGAATATTCAATGCAAATTCTGCATGCAAATAATATTTTGTGTCTTTGCAATGAAGAAAGTGTATGAACTCGGAAAGATTGAGAGGTTTCTACATGAATGGCTCAATTAATGTTCAGGCGTTACGGCATTCACAATCTGAAGGAAGACTGATAACATGATATCCATCAGACCTGGACAGCATCCACAAAAACAGTGAGCTGCGTTAGGTTAAGAAACTGGTTATTCAGAGTGCTCTATCCAAAATTATGAAAGTTAGTGGAAGAGAAAGTGTGATCAAAATCCCCAAGCAGGATTGTGAAGTGAACTCCTTTCAGGGACCGGATGGTTACTCAGCGGTCTAAAGTCCTCTTTTCACAAGAAAGTTAATTCTGCACTTGAGTTCATACTACGCCAACACTACTGACACCAGCTTTCATACCCATAGTGTCATTGTGCTTCATCTGCAACCTGGCCAGAGCTAAACATCATAAAATTTCCAGACTCTTTGCAAAGTATCATCTTTGCAAAGACAAAGATGAGACTGTATTGTGAGAATGATGTATGTGTTAAAAGCCCTTTGTTGCACTGATTTAAAGAGTAATCTGCTTTTTTCCAGAACAGGAACTTTAGCATTTAAACTGAACTACTGAAATAAGTTATCTTTTTTATTATCTTCTATTACTGAGATCCATTTGCATAATTCTGTAAAAATGTTCTGCTCCTTTTTGCTAATTTTCCATCCCTTTATCACCAAACCTCTTTCAAAGTATTTACTTTATCCAGCACATTTGTCACCAGTTTTCAGATCAGTCTTGTTGGACTGATCTAGTCCAACAAGATCAGTCGTCTTGTTGGACTAGATAGACAAGGTGTGTCCATAAAAAGGGACAAAAGTCATGGGAGTCCTCCTCACCTACACTGCTGAGAAACATTGTGAAGTACATGACCCGGATGGACCTCCACCGGCCTCTGTAGTCCTCATCTTGGGAGTCATCACTGCATACAGACGGGAACAACGATTTGTGGTGTTTAAAATGATTTAATACAGTTGTGACACAAACACATTTAAAAAATATGGCTTCACGCATTATAGGTAGTAAACATAAAAAGTTCACCCTGTGAACTCTGCACTCACCTGCTTGCATCGTCCCGCAGCAACGGAGTGCTGCCGTCTGGGTCAAGATGTGACATTTTAATTAATTAAGTAAGTAATCGAGAGAAAGTTCAGGTGGTGTTCTAAGTCGCCATGTCGACGAGGGTCAGTGAACTAGCCGGGGCTCAAAGTAGACTCCTGCTCTTCCGGAAAGCTTCTAGAAGCTAGCAACACTTGCAGATAACCGCAGCCTCACAAAATAACACTTCAGCTGGAGACATTAATAAGCTTTAACAAATGCTGTACACGTTGCTGAAAAGAGGCATGTCTAACCGTTGTTAAAGCCCATAAAAAGCACCACGTAACACACAAAACCTGACAGAGCTGGACTATGATACCATGGCAGCGCAACTTTATTTAGGCCCAATAAACAAACCACCTCCTCCGGTTACATCTTACAAAATAAGACACGAAATATAAACTTTATTGAACTTGGATTTTAAATACAGCATTTATAAGTTATTTAAACGGTTAAATATTCATTCAAATGAATACACTGGATATTCTGCTGATGTTTAAAATTGTATTTCTTTGTCTTTAGCACATGTCTGCTTTTGTTTTGAAACCAACATTACGTTGCGCTTATGTCATTTCCGCCTACGTACTTTTCACTTGACGCAGCGCGCTGACGTGAGAACGCGAGCACAAACTCTGCTATCTGTCCGTGACGAGTTAAAATGAGAAGTGAAGCACCAGATTTCGTTTATATATATGCATCTAATCAGATTTCAGCTGTTCAAAATATTGTTTAAGAATCCGGATTTTTGTACACTGACAATAAACTCTTAAAATACATAATTCTCCTCTTTATTTTGATATTAACAGGGAAAAACTGGTGCTAAACATGTTGCTTGTAGGAGAAAAAAAAAGATGTTCACGTGTAAATGATTAGAGAACACTCATGTTCACACGCACACGCGTCTCCACCGAGTCTCCGCCCCAGAACCAAGGTGGGCGGCATTTTTCCATTTGTGAAAACGAAAGTGAAAGTCTAACTCTGCACGTCCATTTTACATCTTCTGTACATTTCGGCCGTTAAAGATCGTGAAAGCGGAATTAAGGTCAGACTGATCTCCTCGACTTGAAATCACGCCGAAAACCAGCTTCGCCAGAAACAAAGAACCCACCGCTTCTTCTTCTTTTTCTTCTTTTTTGTGTGTGGTTGTGACGTCACCTTGGATTCACTAAAAAGACACAATGGGTAGGCCGCGTGCTCTCCACGTTATGAGGGACATCATGTTTGTGTTCCTATAACTGCTGCTGTGATTTATTATTATTATCATCATTTTTTTTTCTCATCCCAGATAATCGCATCATTCACTTTTATTTCCTGGCGCTTCTTTCCTCGCTTTGCTCTGCTGCTCCCGGTGAGTTTCTTCCACATGTGAAGAATGACATCTGAGTCATTACTACGAGAAACGATAATTCTTAACTTATCTGTTTATGGGACTTCAGATAAAATATCTTGAATGCCTTTCCTTTCCTGATTAATTTCATAATAACACCTGTTTGGCTGGGCTGAAAGGCTTCAAGGCTGAAGAAAATGAAGGACACCAGACCTGCAGCATCAAAGATCCAAAGTTTTTGTTTACGTGTACAAAGTTAGCCCATAAAGCTGATTCTGATTTTTATTAATGCTCTTTTGGAACCAGCAGAGGAAAATGTTGAAATAGCAAGATGTTAATGCTGGTTTATACGTTTTTATACATTTGACATACCTGGTGCTGCAAATTGACATTAATAATCATCTGGAACTTAATTTAATATAAATCATTTGGTTTAGAAAACTTAAGACTTGACCACAAGGAAACTTTTTACTTTGAACACTTTATATTCAATTTAATTGTGCTTCAAAGTAGAAGATGACTGAACAAGATTTTCTTTTCAGTTTCAGGGACTTTCACGGTTTCAGAAAAGTCTCCTGTCTCAGTCCAGCGAGGTCAAACAGCCATCTTACCCTGCTGGCTCACCCCGTCTCAGAGTGCAGAGGATATGGAGGTACGCTGGTATCAAGGGATTGATGGGTATGACACTCCAGCCCTACTTTATAAGGACAAGGCTTTCGACTACTCATCCCAACAAGCTTCATACGCTGGCCGAGTCTCGTTCGGCTTAAAGGAAAAAACATCAGGAGGATTAAAGGCAGGTGATGTCAGCCTGAAGCTGGAAAACGTCACAATTGAAGATGCTGGACAATATACATGTTATGCTAGCAGTTCTGAAGATTATGAAAGTGCAATTATTAGTCTGAGTGTGACAGGTGAGAACCATGAAAACAGGACGAGAACAAAATCAAACAGAATGATGTCTACATCAAATGATCATCCTCTTCTTATTCCAGAAACTGGACGCTCCCCTCTCCTGTCAGCGGTGAGGAAAGACGATAACAAAGTTAATATAAGCTGCCAATCTGCTGGCTGGTATCCAAAGCCTGAGCTCAGCTGGTCAGAAGGCAAAAACGCTCTCAGACCTGATAATGTGTTGTTTAGCAAAACCTCTGCTAGTTTTTATTCAGTCCATAGTTGGGTTCTGGTCTCCAGTCCCTCTGAGGTCTCCTGCTCTGTTGGGCTCATCAATGAGGCACCAAAAGAGGCCAGAATGCGCCTGGAAAATCCTCCATCATCACAAGAAGGTACGTGGTTTCACATTCTAGGGCTGTGGAGTATATCAAATATATTGACATGCGTGTCAAATATATGGACACACTTGACTTTGCCAAAAATGCCAAAGGTCACACAGAATAAGAAGGACAGATAAGAAAGAAAAAAAAAACAGGCACATAGAGCACCTGATATGTCATCAAAATATTTGCCATTATTATACACACCGCAAAGCTTTCTGATATTGTTCACCCTATCAGCATGTATTCTTTTGTAGTTTTCTACTAGAACATGTTTGTTATGTAGGATCCTCAGCTGGATGGGTGGCCTTTGTGATACTTCTGGTAGCTGTACTAGCGGCACTTGGAGCCTTGTGCTTCCTTTACTTCAGGAAGAAAGGTAAATGTTTGATGTACATCAGAGAGCATCCATTGATGACAGCATTTAAAGATGTCGAGATTTTATTGAATACTGATTTCATACTTTGTTATATGTCTTCATTTCAGCCAACAAATCAAAATCAGGAAATGACGCAACTGATGGTAAGAAACACTTGAGACTGCTTAAACATATTTGTTTAGAACAGTTTTACAAACTTTCTGCTCAATGTCACCTTCCTAATATTAAAGGAACAATCTTGTAGTTTTACCTTTTGTGGAGTTTTCAGACTTAATTAATAGTTTTGTGAATTTAATACAGGAAAAACCTTGTGAAGTTTTATTAGCACGGTTGTACAAAACTGAAATATGTCTACATAAAAGACAATAGAGACACATATAGCCCCTTTCAAAAATGATTATTTTCACATTTTATCACGACTGAATGTGTATTATGGGAGAAGATTTTATATTATAAAACAATGTTGCGTAGTACATTACTGGAAATATTAAGAAAAATAATACATGGTTTTCAAATATTTGGCAAAATTGTAAAACTTATGGAGCTCCCTTTATAGCGTAATAGCATAAAGTTTACAGTGTTATTCCCTCCAAAATGATACAAATACATTTGGAAGTCATCTAATTGGTAAGTTTTCATAACATAATGTTGAAACTGGTATTTCAATAATCAGTTCTTTTTTAATGTCTAGTAAGAATAAATTATAAATTTAAATGACAAAATCAAAGTAGTCCATAAAGCTGTCAAATTTGGACCTCAATGTCCAACCCAAACGTCTCTGTGTAGCATCATCACACAAACAACAGATATGAGAATAAGTGCCTGGTCTGAGTCATTTCCTGAAGTGTTATTTTTTATCTTGCAGGAGCTGAACTCATGAGCAATCCTGAAGGTAAAACAGAAAGTGTAATTTATATTTACTTATTCTTCTATTTCTGTTAATTTAGCATGTAAGGGCGCTTATTGTTTTTTTATTTCTCTAGATTTTTGGAGACATGAGAGGAGAGCAATAGAAACATAAACTTAGTACATATCTTTACAGTGTTTTGTTCAGATTTTCATTCAAAAAACAGTATGTTTGATGAACCTCAGTCTCGTAGAGATAATTGTAAATCTCTTGTTGTTCACTGCATAAAACAACTATAATATTATGAATTTTTGTGTCTTCCTTCAGAGAATGAACCACTTCTGTCAACAGGTAGAACATATTATTAGAAGCTTCTGGTGTTAATATAATCAAAACAAAACCTTTATAATACAAAATCACATTTCTAAGATATTTTTTCTTTTCTTTCTTTTCTGTGCAGCAACATGGCATCCAGCAGTTCTTTTGGAAGGATCCAAGTATTATGGTAATTTTACATTTATTTAAAGTTATTCTTATTTAGCATTTTTCTTTGTTATTATATTGATTATAATCAAATTTCCATATTTAACAGAGAATATTCAACTGGTGAACACAGGCAATAAGCTAATAAGAATCAAGAATTCTATACTGAGAGAAAATATCCATGCAAAGTTTCCTGATGGAGACAGAGTCACTTGTCTCACTGCAGTCAGAGGTTCTCCTGGCTTCTCTTCTGGACGTCACTACTGGGAGGTTTGCTTAATGGCACCTAATGTCGATCTTAAGAAGTCCTGGTGGATTGGAGTGACAGATAAACATGAAATCCCTCATGATGAAAGTTTCCCTCCAACCACAAAAAATGGTTTCTGGTTCTTGTCTTCTTGCCCCAACCGGGAGAATACTGTTCAGTTTAGCACCGAACCAGAGACATTCATTTATGTCCAGTCAAAACCAAAAACAGTTGGTGTGTATTTGGACTTTGACAACAGAGAGCTCTCCTTCTATAATGTGGAAGAGAAATGTCTGATTGGATCTCTGGCAGCAAAATTCACAGGTGAAATGTTCCCACTTTTTAACCCTGGGAAAGGTGAACAATCATCTATGAAGATATACCGTTGCAGGATCAGTCAAATAACACTGAAAATGTGGAGAAACTACAAAATGTGGAGGAGGACCAATCAGGCAAGACTGAGAATGCAGAGAAAGAAATTAAAAGTGGCACAAATGAAGAAAGAGAAGAAGAAGAGGGTAAGGGAGATGCACAGTGAAATGTTGTCATGCATGCAGACAAGTCCGAAGTAAAATAATCAGGAAAAAAAAAATTTAAATTAAAATGTACTTGTTGCACTCAAAGTTTAAGAAAGTAAAACAAAGTATTTATTATAAGCTTTGATTTTCTGAAATTTAAGATCAGCATCAATGGTAACAGTTTCCCTTGGGAAACATTAAATATCTACACAAAATGTAAGTTGTGTTTCTGTCCAAACTCAGTAATGCTGGAGCTTTGATCAGTGGGTGAGTCACACAACGAGAGTGTGTTTAATTAAATATCTTCCTTCATTTTACATGCATTCTCTGTTGTACCTGCAGTTAAAGGCAACTCAGATAAACCCGACTACAGAAAATAAAATTTCTAGCTCCAAAGAAAGTTTTATTATTTCCTTTATGTTTTTACAAATGTAAGTCATGAATTCTCTATTAGGGCCGACTGTCTAACTCTAATTTTGCACTCCTTTAAAGCCTATTTTTATAACTGAGGCAATCAATCAGTGAACTAATCACTAGAATCACATGTTACTTTTTCTGAATATTAATACTTCTCTACTGGATCAGTAAAATAAATGTACAGACCTGTGTTATCTTTGGTACATGTGTAGATACATAAATAATGTTTAAATGTTTGGTACAGTTTAGTGAATATTTACTCATAGTTAACCTGATCTAATGTGTTTCAAGTAATTTTTCTAAGTTCACATCAACTGACTGTGATACCTGTTGTAAAACTGACTAATCTATTTTCCTTTTTTTAATAGGTGCTAACTCAGCCTTTTATGAGTTTTTATAAATTCGTGTTATGTTGTCATATTTTGAAGCTATACAAAGCTGCCTAATGCTCCTTCTGTCTATAAAACTTCAGTTCTTTCGAATAGCTACCAAAGGCATGTTTTGGAAGCTAATTTAACTTAACTTGTCCTAATTTGTTTCATATGTCAGTATATGATGTTTATATGATGTTTAATGGATATACATATTTCAGGAGCAACTCAGAAGCTGGTCTAGTATATTTTTATCACTACTTTAGAGCCTGTTAGGCCTTCAAAGCATTGGGAGAGCATGCATACACTTCAATACTGAAACATTTTAGGCATAAGAATGGGAAAGCATGAATTATTAATCTTATAGCAGCTTAGTAACATGGAGAGCTCCTTCAAGTCTCAACTGTAAATATTTACAGACCATAGTCCATTTTAAAATGTGATACTGTGGTGGAATATTGTGCAAGCTTTTTGTGTCAGTCTGAACTCAGATTGTGCTGATTTTTAATTTTAGACAATAAATAGATTCATATTTGAAGGAACAATAAGAAATAAGTATGTGTGCACTCAGTGTTCCTTCACTTTTTTACCACCTCTTGTAAATGTTTTGTGTTTCTAACTAAAGATTTCAGAACATTGTAGATACATATTCAACAGGTTTAATTTTTTTAAAAAATAAATAAAATATAATCATTTGTGTGCCATCTTTTTTTTTAATTTAACATAAGTTCTATCTTGTAATCAAGAAAAGTCATAAACATTTCATACTTACTTTCAGAAGCTTTTTTTAATGTGGATAAAATAGATTGTAATGTAGATTCTACAACATGATTCAAAATTAAATTTGGAATAACAATATAAAAATTGTAATTAATTGAAATGGACCAGATGTAGACCATTATTTGCCTTCAGATGTGGTTTCTGGGTTCAAATTATTCTTGAAGACTAATCAAAAATATATTTTATAAAGCATGCAACCTACTTATTTCAAAGTATGATTAGTTAAACTAAGTTTCATTTGAGGATTCTTCTTCTGAGTTCAGTTGGAGAGAAAGATCAGACATATTGGAGACCAGAAGATTGATCACATTGTTAAAATATAAGAGCTGTTTAAGAAGACCAATAATACAAAACAGAACTAAATTCTTTAAAAATGTTGAAATATTTGTTTATGAAGTTCGTATGTTTTTTTTAAAGAAGACAAAACAATGAATCAGCACAGTAGAGACTGGAGATTCCAGATTGTATAATCTTATCGTCTAAAGTAGTAAAATTTGCACACAAATTTGTAATTTCAGTTCTCTGTTCTTGAGTCTCTCTACTTCAGTAATTTTTTTGATTACTTTTTTATTTACATTAAAATAATGTTTACGTAGTGCTGCTCCTACTTGAGTGAACATTTTTGTCTGACCTTGCCAGCTCTGACTATAATACATCTGTTGTGTTTTCATGTCTGAATTTAGAGATGTTGCCAATATAACATAGTCTTTTTTATTCACCCATTGTGTTTGTTGTTTATTTCTTTGTTTTGTTTTGAGTAAACATCTGCTATAGATTCTCTCCTCCCATTGTTTCTACACAGCTTAATCTGAGTGAGAAAAATATCTTTGTGAAATCTTCAGAGTTTCTGTGTCTTCTGTTTATTAATGACTGAATTAACTGATGAATGCTTACTTACTTAATAAAATAACATTATCTTTTAAACAAGCTACTGGAAAAGTAATGAAGCTGTAAACCTTATTGAAAGTTTTTCAGTCACAGGCATTCAAGCCCCATTTTCTTTGAGATTTTTTATGAATAGTAGCTCAACAGGTTTGGTTACATATTTTCATACTGGAATCGAAAGTAAAAGTATCCGTGTCTTCACGTCTCTTTTGCGTCTTATTTATTTCTAACCGGGCAACAGAAGCGAGCAGGTATCAGATCTTCCCTCCTGGACTTGATTCACGTCTAAAACTCGTCAGCAGGAATCATCACCGTTTTTCAGTGGTTATGTTCATGTCACCTTTGACTCACTGGAGCCCAATGGGGAAGCAAAGAGTTACAATCGCTGCTTTAACAGGTAAATATGATCCAGATTTCATTCTGTAAATCTGATCTCATCATGTCAAGAGTTGCCAATCTTGTTTGTTTTTCTCTTACAGAGAGAAAAACTAATGTTTGTTCTCTTATAGCTCAGACAGTTTCTCATAAATATTTTTTCTATCCCAGGTAATCAGATGATTTATTTTTGCTTTCTGGTTCTCCTTTCTTCATCCGGCTCCGCTGCTCCAGGTGAGTCCTGACGTCATCATTTATAGCGCAGGATTCCCCTGAGAGTCCTCGTCTGCATGACTTCATTTATTGGTTTAAAGTGACTTTCTTCTCCAGACAAACCCTTGGCTTGATCACCAGATCTTAATTTTTTCAAGCATTTATAGGACTAAAGTCAAATTTCTTTGTTTGTACACTCAAACTTGATTCTGATCCTAATCAGAATTGGCCAACTTCTCCAGGGGGCCCTTAGCAAAATATGGTTTTGGGGCCCTGAATTTCAATCAACAGTCAGAAGATTATCTCATTGAAACACCTGTTATAAACGCCATACATCTCTGATCGTGATGGTTAAATTTTATCCTATTTTTTGTATTTTTTGTATTTTTGTATTGGCAATAAAAAATGAACTAGTGTGCACTGGACTTAAGATTGATTTTACACACACACACACACACATACACACACACACATTAATTGACATTTTTTGATGAAATTAATTTTTCTTAGGTGTATTTCCAATATTTAAAAAATAAATTCAGAACCAGCTGAATCTTTCTCAAATCCTTCAAATAATTTTACCAGTTCTTCTGCCCACATTTCACATAAGTTATAAATTGATGTAAAAAAGTTGTTTGTTTTAGCCACTTTTGTTATCATGCTCAGCAGCAAGCAACATATCAACAACTACCGCTTAGACTAACTCATCTCTATATTTCAATGAGATTGCCATGTAGCCTGTCAATCATTGTGAAGTTTTATTGTTATCAAACATTATCAAACATGACATTTTGAAAAATAATAATTATTTTAAAAAATCCAAAAGATATAGGGCCAACAACGAGAATCAAATCACTTAAAATTAAAACTCAGTTTCATTTAAACAAAAAGATGCTGTGAAGATTTGAGTTTTGCATGTTTTCCAGTTTATTTTGTGTTGTCTTTGCAACCCCTAAAATGTCCCCAGCTGTCCCTAAATACACCAGGATTAATCCCTGGTGTATTTAACCTCACCTGTGTCACCTGCTCCTGTGTCACCTGCTCCCTGCAGGATCCTAGTCTTTTGTCTTTGCTGTTCCTGTCTGAGTCACGTTCCTATGTCGACCAGAGTTTGTGCTCGTATTGACATGCACTGCATGTTACATGGCATCAAATATTACCACCAGGGCTCCTTATGAAAAATAACTTATTTCTTCTTGCCTGTATAAAGAATGGCTTCTACATTCATTCATGACATAAAAATTATGAAAGAAATAACTGAATCAGAACAATAAAATTGTGTGTTTTTGTTAATATAAAAACATAGAAATTATTACAAACTAAACTATTGTGATCATTTGGAACCAGCTGTATTGAAAAAATTTTTGTACAAACAGCAAAAATATCATTTCACAACCACGATGTACATGTTATTGGTTTACAAAAAAATATTTTAATGGTTTATTTTTTATGTTTACCGTTTATTGAACAGCAACTATCATTATTTATTGTTTGGGAAATTATTTAATATAAAGCATTTGATCTATTAAAAAACCTAAGAGACTTGAAATCAAGGGAACTTTTTACTTTGAAACACTGAACATACTTAATCTAAAACCACAACAAAATGAAAAGATGACTCTGATTATGATTTTCTTTTCTTTTCAGTTTCAGAGACTTTCACAGTTTCAGTAAAGTCTCCTGTCTCAGTCCAGAGAGGTCAAACAGCCATCTTACCCTGCTGGCTCACTTTCTCTCAGAGTGCAGAGGATATGGAGGTTCGCTGGAATCACTGGAGTCATGAGTTTGGTTCTCCAGTCCTGCTTTATAAGGACAAGGCTTTCGACTACTCATCCCAACAAGCTTCATACGCTGGCCGAGTCTCAATCGGCTTAAAGAAAAAAATCAGGAGGATTAAAGTCAGGTGATGTCAGCCTGAAGCTGGAAAACGTCACAATTGAAGATGCAGGGAAATATATATGCTCTGTCAGCAGTTCTGACGATTATGACAGTGCAACTATTAGTCTGAGTGTGACAGGTGAGAACCATGAGAACGAAACCAAACAGAATGATGTCTACATCGAATGATCATCCTCTTCTTATTCCAGAAACTGGAGGCCAACCTTTCCTGTCAGCGGTGATGAAAGACGATAACAAAGTTAATATGAGCTGCCAATCTGCTGGCTGGTATCCACAACCTGAGCTGCGCTGGTCAGACAACAAAAAGGCTCTCAGACCTGATAATGTGTCATTCAGCAAAAACTCTGCTGGTTTTTATTCAGTCCATAGTTGGGTTCTGGTCTCCGATCCCTCTGAGGTCTCCTGCTCTGTTGGGCTCATCAATGAGGCACCAAAAGAGGCCAGAATGTGTTTGGAAAATCCTCCACCAATACAAGAAGGTACGTGGTTTCATATTCTAGGGCTGTGGAGTATATCAAATATATTGCCAACATATTATTAGTGTGCACAATGTTCATATCGCAAAGGACTGTTTGGAGTGCAATCATTTTGGCAATTATATTTTACAAGTTCTGAATTTGTATTTTTCAGTTTTTAGCCAGTAGTACTTAGTGTCACAGACTGAAAAGTCCAAACCACACATGACCTTGACTTTTTTGAAGTTCAAAACTTCTCATCTGTCCTGTAGAAGGACAGCCCTAAGACAATGTATTTATTTTTAGTTTTCAATGAGAAAGATGTTTACTAGAACATGTTTGTTATGTATTATTCAGAGTCAGGATCCTCAGCTGGATGGGTGGCCTTTGTGATACTTCTGGTAGCTGTATTAGCAGCACTTGGAGCCATGTGCTTCCTTTACTACAGGAAGAAAGGTAAATGTTTAATTTACATCAGAGAGCAAGATTTTAATGAGTACTGATTTTATACTGTGGGATATGTTTTCATTTCAGCTAACAAGTCCAAACCAGGAAATGACACAACTGATGGTAAGAAACACTTCAGACTCCTTAAAATATTTTCTTAGAAGTATTTCACAAACTTCTCCATAATGTCATATTGCTTAAGTTTAAGGGACGACATAGTTTTACATTTTGTGCAGTTTTCAGACTTATTTAATTGTTTTGTAAATTTAATACAGAGCAAAATCTTGTGAGGTTTATTATCACAGTCCCTTGCAAAAGTACTTGAGTCCCTCATTCACTGATCACATCACAGAATCTAACTTCAGTTTGTTTCAGAGGAAGATTTTGCATTTTAAAACAATGCTGTGTAGTGCATCACTGGAAACGTTAGGAAAAATAATACATGTTTTTTTTTTTTACATTTTTGGAAAGATTGTTAAAGTTATGGAATTCCTTTACTCTCTTTTTCCCAAATAAAAACTGATGCAAACAAACACATCTAACTAGTACATTTTATTTGTAATATAATGATGAATCTTCAATTCAACATTAGAATACTTTTAAATATCTACAACTAAAGAAATAATGAAGAAAATTAAATT